GTTTTCCCTACACGCGATACGCAAATATGTTGTTTCTAAATGTGAAACCACGATGATATGAATGTTTGGGGTGCGTCGATCCTCCGTAGCAGCCTAGATACGGATTGAAAGGCGCATCGATATCCAGTGGCTCAGGCTGTACTGATATTAATAACAAGTGATGTGGGAAACGTCCTCACTCGTGGCTCTGCGATGGCGCTCTCCAGCTGAAAACAATATATGACCTCAGTGGTCGGCACAACTCAAAAGATTCACTGCTAAAAACTGGGAAGATGCGCGCGGATAATAAATAGCAACGGGAAATGTACAAGAGGCGAAAGAAAAAACAGCGGATCCCGCATGCAGGTGGACAAACCATGCAGATAGAGCTGGATGGCGTTGAAGCGCTGGGTGAGCGCTTGGAGGAGATGCGATGTTTTTGTAGGCTCTGACTCGGAGATGCTGCAGTCTTGCTTTCAGAGCATCTTTGCGCGTTTCTGCTGGAGCTCAAAGCAGCGGGTGACGTCATGTGGAGCCGAGACCGCGGCTGTCAAATGTGAAGAAACAGACACGCCCACCTCGAGCTGTGATTGGTCGAGATTTGATTTTCTCCGGCAAAGCGAAGTATAAATCCTGCTTGTCACATGACAATACAGGAGGAGGTGGCGGTGATGAAAATGCGAGAGCATCCTTGTAAAATAGGAGCAAGGATTCTAAATGCGCAGCTCGTCTCTGTCTAATCCACGATAATTCTACCACAGTAAATTATTGTTGTTATTGTTATTATTAGGCAATAATAATTATATTATTATAATGATTGTTATTATTGTTATGTGATTTGTACTTTTATTAATTATTGTTGTGGTTTAATTTTATTTGTAGTAGTAATAGTAGCATTTATTTATTTCATTTTTATGCAATTTTATTATTACTTAATAATAATAATAAATACAATTATATATAAAATTAAAAAGTAATATTTAATTTATATAATTTTTGTATTATTGTTAGTAGTAGTATTGGTATTATTACATTTAACTATTATTATTATTATTAATGCAATAATATTAATAAATTAAATTGCATAAATTAAACAATGATACATTCATGTATTTTTATTATCACATTTAACTATTGTTATTATTGTGTCATTTGTAATTTTATTATTATTTAATAATAATAATAATATAATACTAAATTACAAAATTAAACAATAATATTTATGTAATTCTATTTTTTTATTATTATAAGTAGTAGTAGTATAACATTTAACTATTTAATTTATTATTATTATTATTATTATTAACACAGTATTTGAACTTGAAAACTGTATTTAAATTGCTGATAAAAATCATTTTAACTCACTTTTTAAAAATACTTTAAAATCAAATATAAATTAATGGATGTTAAATGGATGAATGCAAAGATGTTGTTCAAAAAAACTTAAACACATTGTTTAACTGTATAGTGTCCTCAGTGCCCAGTAAGACTCTCTGTATCCTCTTGTCACACACACTCACACTCCTCCTGTGTCAACACAGGGCCGGAGGCGAGCACTTCTCTTATTCCAGATTCGCATCAAGGTGATGCTGCGTCGTCTACTGCATGCACACAAAGAGCTACCTCACACAATTTCACATTTCTGTGGAAAAACTCAGCAGTGCGCCAGTGTCATCCGAAATACATAGGCCTATGCTCAGTTTGAGTGGAGCAAACCGATACTGAGACATTTGGCTCCTATTTACTGGGGGAAAATTGAGCAAAATTAGTGACTATAAAACAATTGTTTTCTTTTGAGTCTGGCCATCCATGAAATGCAGTAAATGTGAAACAATCAAACTCAGTTGCTTTGTTTATTCTACCAGTTGCATTCTAGAAAAGCTCATTACTCGTGAAATAAAATGGGTGATTATTTTATTTAGATCACAAAAGCTTCAGTAATGTGAGAATTATGATACATGATGCTATTGCTTAAAAATGGAGTGCGCTTCCATGGATCCGCAATCAAATACAGGCCTGATAGGGTGGGATTGGGGAAACAGTTAGACTAGAATTATTTAGCAAGTTCACATACAATGTATATTTTTTTTATCCGGTGTTTATCAGTGTTACATTTAACCGTGGATATAAAATAAACTCCTTATATGAGTATCCTTATATGAAGCTGCATAAACTGAATAAAAGAGAAATATTTTGTTTATTCTACACTCATTCTTGCATCAAAAAAGAAAAATGTATTATTGTTTCTTTTTAATATTTCATTTATTATTATATTTAATACTTTTTTTATATATAATTTTTTTTCTGTGTAGAATAAGTATATATTTTTGCCTATGTACACTCATATGCACCATATATATGCACCCAATCTTCATTAGTCCATATTTACAAACATATAGCAAAATAAAAATCAGGTTCTGTTTGCCAGCAACACATTGCATGCAAATGTTAATTTCGGACAGATGGCAGTGGCTAAAGCTCTCCATTCCTGCAATATGGGTTTATGAGCTTTCACATAAACACGTGCAGTTTTCCCCCCTCTGTCACACTGGTGAAAGGGTAATATCTCGTCGAGGATGACTTTCAATGCATAACACCCTCCCCCACGCTACACACATTGTTTGAAGAGGGGACCCCATCTGCCCCCTTCTTCATAAGAGCACCCGCACTATTGTTTCTGCAACTAACACAGAAAAACCTTAAGAATTGGCCGGACTGGGCAACATCTGGCATTGAATTCCACATTTATTTATGAGCAACAACATGGCACTATGCAGGTTTAAAAGGAGACAAGGGTATTTGATTATTCATCTGGCAAAAAGCTTGCTTTTTTGGAATCATTATCAAGTTGTTTTTACAAATAAACAACTACTAATAAACCCAATGAGGATACTGAGTTACTCCCTAACCTTTGTTAAAATCTGCCTCAGAGAGAATAATAAATATGGAATTATTTATTTCCTAGGTGAATTTCAAACCATGTCTCAAACAATATCAGTCATTGTTGGATATTAAATCAAATGCTATTTTAATTCATTTTCATTCCATAACTTATCTTTACAAATCGCTTGTATTTCAGTTATCATGCATACACAGTATTTTGATATGTGAGATGGATCTTTCCCCGGTTTGTAGCATTAAACATCAGAACAGCAAGGCCAAAATCCACTATAAGAAACAAAAGACATTAATTAACAAGAGTCTCCATCTTGTGGATGAATTATGGAAGCAGTCGAAGAGACTGAGAAGAGCTGCTTCTTTGTCTGGTGTTACCTGCCAAAAATTACAATTGCAAAAAAGCTGCAGAAATGACAAACACAATAACTTTAAATACACATCTAACAATTGATCTTTATATAAATATTTTTATTCAGTCCTCAAAGCTCAGATGCATCAAAGATGCATCAAAGCACATTTTGATGCATCTTTATGAACTACAACACAACTACACTGTTAAAATATAGGCTAGCAGTTATATTGTTACATACCTGAAATCATTAGCAGCATGCGCACTATAAAAAAGTGTTCTTGGAATTAATAATAAAAACTATTAATAGCTAAACGTTGTATTCATTCAAGGCAAAGCAGCTGTGGAGGTTATGCAAGGTTACTGTCCTCTTGTGGCAAAACGGTAGTCACATTTCATCTTTCAAGTGACATACAGCCACCAGACGGCAGCAGTCTCACAACATTTATTTTTTGTGTGGGAACAACAGTTTGTTGAAACTTCGTTCCCTTCTTTTTTTTATGATGGTAAAGCTAGTTAATTTTGATTGCAATGTGGAAATATTACATGCATATTCAGCAATAACAAAAAAAAAAGTCCCTTTTTCAGGATACTGTAATTTAAAGATAAAGTATCCAAAATCCATATGCTTTACAGATCAGATTTATTGGGAAGGGCTTAAACAATCATTTTACACTTGTTCAGTGAACTATAAACAGTTATTGCACACGCACCCGTAGAACCGTCCTTAAGACACTTATGGATTACAGGCGGTAGGCAATTAAGGTCACAGTTATAACTGCAATGTCCGTAATGTCCGTAACAGTTCTACAGGTAGACGGGAAGGACAGCTGATCATCCTTGCAGTGGTAAACCACCTGTAACCATGTGTCTCCCCAGATGTGTTCAAGAACTTGCAAACGTATTGGTGGAACAGTGGGGAAACATCCATAGGAGGAGGATGAACCAACTCCAGGGTAAGGCTAAAAATAGCCTATTGTTAGTGTAGCTTAATCCAGTGGTTCCCAAAGTGGGTGTCGTGACAACTGGCTAGGGGTGCCGCAGAATCTTAGCTTTTTTCCAATTTAAACAACCTAAAATAACTATCGTAGCCTACCATATAAATAACCTTTTACAGTATATATTTTAAAAATAGCCTATATCAAAACACCAACATATGAGCATGTCCAAACGAAAATAAATAAAAGAAAAAACACTGATATATTTCATACTTAGGCTATTTAAAGTTTAAATATGTATTTACCGCCAATTGGACTGTTCTCAGGAGAGAATCGCCCCGTCCGCTCAGCTCCGCCTTTGTACTGGTGCACGCTCGATTTTATATTTCACGCAGTGATTGACAGGACACGAAATTCGTGTTGCTGCGATAGACCCCCACCGTCGTTTTGATTTTTTTATAGTAATAAAAATCATTTAGTTCACTACAATTAAAACTGAACGCGGCTGCTCAATGCAGCGTGCCGAACGACAGTCGCATCACAGATCAGATCTCATTTATCTCGCGAGGAGAAGCTGACAAGAAGAGAGGCGAGACAGACAAGACGATGGCAGAAGAGTTTCAAAACGACATGCAAAAGTGCCTGTTTTAAAAAATATTTTGGATTTCGAAAAGCCTGTTGACTTCTGCCATTTATCTAAGGTGATTTTGTAAGTTTTTTTTAAACATTCGTTTCTTATTTATTTGGTTCCATCGTGTTTGCGGATTTAAATTTATTTAAACTGTGTACTTTTGTTTTACATCAAGTATGCCGTGTCTCCAATCTTTCTTATTCGTTTTGCTAATAAACGTACATTTCTTATTTATTTGGTTCCACAGTGTTTACTGCTCTTCAGTTTTGTATAGGCTACCTGAACTTTGTCGAAGTTATTTGTTATTTTATATTAGGCATAGAGCAAGGAGCATTTTATTCGTTTTGTTAATAAAAGTGATATGTTCTATGTTGTATTTTGTTGTTGCTTGAATTGAATTAAAGCAATTGACGCTGAATTGCCACTAATTTGAAAGTGAAAGTAAAATGCGCACGGCGCTTTTAAGCTATTTAAAAGCAAAGGAAAGTTTAAGTAAAAGCGGAAAACTCAAACGAACTAAAAACAAACAACTGCTTGATGGCGAATTGGCGCTATTTTGAAAGTGAAAGTAAAATGCACAGGGTGCTTTTACAAGCTATTTAAAACGGAAGGAAAGCACTAGCCCCTCTTTTCCTCACAGTCACAACCCTAAATTATACCCATCTATCTCAGAATGCGCCGTCAATGTGCTGTTGCCGTT